CCCCCGTGGAATGAATTCTTTACATTCTAAACGCAGTTGACTCTTTATCCAACAAGAACTAGTTTAGATGTCTATATTTTATATTTTAATATTTTATTTCACTTTCAAAGCAAATTTAAAATAATTTTATCTTTTTCAATAGATTTATTTTTTTCAATTTCCTATTTGGAATTAGTAATTAGTTCAAGCAATGATAAATAGGAAATACTATAGAGGAGATAAAAAATCATTATTAACAGAAACTTGAACGTCTTACAATATGGTGTAGAAATTATTTCCAGTAATTGGCAGTGCTTAAATACAGATTTACAAAAATTACGCTTCAGTGATGTATTTTATGGACATTAGCTTGAAGAAGATACTGAACAGGTATTAAAGGTTTCGAGGCCATCCAATACCGATATGTAGTTGACGCGATAAAACACATTCCAAAATAAAATACTCAGATACTTTTGTTACACTTTTTTAGTTTTACTTTAATTTATCTTAATTATAAACTTTCTTTGATACATAGCACGTTAGGCCATCCGGATGTCGTACTACCTTTGACCTAACTTACTGATATTATACATAACACGTGCCTTAGTCCTCGCTCAACTTTACACGCATAGCCTGTCATATATAAAGAGTGGCTTCCTTACCGTCTGTTGCTAATGTCATAGACCTGCTCTTTCTCTGGGGCTGTGGGACGTAGGGCCGACCGGTATCTCAGTCTCTCGCCATGTATGCATTTCATGCATGACAAATTGCAGGCAATACTAGGCACGCATGCGCTATGGAAACATTGTCCGCTTATATTCAAATATATGTGATTGCATTAGACTGAATGTTATAGTATAGGTCAACCTAAACCTAAATACATACACATACCATATAAAAAGTTCCTAAATTCATACAAGTTTTTCTTTTCAACTGAGAAATTTTAAATGGATTATCATTCAAGCATTAGTTACTTAGTCCGAAGCCCAAATAAACAGGGAATGGTTAAAAACAAAAACAAAAATACGAAAACAACATACATAAGCGTAACTGAGAAATATAAAAAGGACCAGAGTTGTAACTTGTTTCTACTTCATAAGTAAGCGAGAAATTACTTCACCTCCTTCCCACCAGGAGAAACCTAATACATTAAATCATTGTGTTCGTTGAAAGAAGTAT